CGTCACAACAGATACATTAGCTATTAATGGATCAAACACTGCAAATAAAGAGTAGAACGTCACAACAGATACATTAGCTATTAATGGATCAAACACTCCAAATAAAGAGTAGAACGTCACAACAGATGCATTAGCTATTAATGGATCAAACACTGCAAATAAAGAGTAGACCGTCACAACAGATACATTAGCTATTAATGGATCAAACACTGCAAATAAAGAGTAGAACGTCACAACAGATACATTAGCTATTAATGGATCAAACACTGCAAATAAAGAGTAGAACGTCACAACAGATACATTAGCTAATAATGGATCAAACACTCCAAATGATAAAGAGTAGAACGTCACAACAGATACATGAGCTATTAATGGATCAAACACTACAAAAAAAGAATAAATATTTTCTGAGCAGATACAAAAGCAAGAACAGTAATACCTTATGAGTAAGCTAGAGAGTTTAAGAAGTGTGTTTGAGGGCTGGGAGGATGGCTCAGCAGTCAGCATCACTGCCTGCTCTTCCAGATGACCCGGGTTCAATTCCCAGCACCCACATGGCAGCTCACAGCTGGCTGTCACTAAAATTCCAGGGGACCTGGCACCCTCACACATGCCTATATCATGGAGGCCAAACACTAACGCACGTAAAATAAGAATAAGTAATTCTCTTTAAAGTTGAAGAAAAAGCTGGCGACAGTGGTGAAGCTGTCACTGCTTTTATAATCATTTACTGCTCATTAAGTAAGGGCTGGTTACTGGGAATAGCTGCTGCCTTTAGTTCAGTTTAGTCTACTTAGATTGTTGGTGGGGTTTGCAAGTTTGATGTATGAGCACTTAGCACCCATCAGGTGTCACTGTAGGACGAGTGTGGGGAGCATCCCAGGCCTGTAGCATGAGGGCAGGGCCTGTGAAGGCTGTTACACTTAACATTCACTGAATCTGATCTGCAATCTTTGCATCCTGGCCATTGCCACATGAAGAGTCTCCACCATGTGCCGCGGTCCCCATTAACAGCACCGTGATGGCATTGTGTGACACTTTTCCTGGGTAGGGAACCCATGTCAGACCAAATTGTGGGTGAGGACTTTACACAACAGGGGTGATTCTGAAGCACTTGCATCACTAAAAGCCCACTCGGTCACGGGTGATAACTCACTGAGTCTGCATCTATCTGAATCTCCAGAGGTGGTGGATGACTCCAAAGGAACATCGTTCCCCAGACCTAACAGAGCTGATGCACATAGGACCTCACAGAGACTGTGAGATCACTCACAAGATCGGCAGGAGCTCAAGCCAGATAAAATCCCTGCATGGAGGAGGGGAAGTGGCCACAAAGCCCTACACCTAACCAAGTAGCTATATGTGATAGATAGCTGCTTTCTTAATGGAGTGACACTGAGTACAACAAACACACCCCAGAACAGGCCCCATGCCCAGTAGTTTCCAGTATAAATAGGACTCCATGGTTTTGTTTTTGACATATAAACAGACTGTTTTGTTTGTTTTAAGCAAGAGAAAGAGCAGGACGTTGCTTTAGGGGTTGTTAGGGAAGAGTGAAATATGATAAAAATAAATAAAAACTTTAAAAATACGGAAAAAATTAAAAATAAAATATATATGTTGCGGCGAATCTGAGGGGATGGCTCTTCCAGAGGCCCTGACTTCAGTCCACAGACCCCAAGTGGTGGCTCACAACTGCCTGTTATTCTGGTTCCAAGGGGTCTGACTCCATCTTATGAGCTCCGTGGGCAAATCCAAAGACACAAATGCAAGTAAAATATCCATACACATGAAATTAAAATAAACAAAACCTGCAATAATAATAAGATATACCGGTTGTTCTGGATAGTGCTCCTAGCCAGAGGACCTGAGTTCAGTTTGCATTACCTACTGACAGGCATCTGTAACTGTGAGAGGCCACTCTGGGCTATTTAGCCCATGATTATTTAGCCCATGGTACATAGCAGGACATACGTACATACTTACATACACACAACACATTGTCTACATAGTCTGTACATTTATAAATTTCCTTCACCATTATAGTGATTCCATATCACAAGTATTGTTGCCATCCACAACACAATTTTGTGTGCCTCCCTACTTTCTGAGGTGGACCAGGACAAAGTCTACCTGTGCTTAGAAATGTTGGCCCAGCCTGAACAGAACAGAAAAGCTTCTCACCAGGATCTCTGTCGACATCCAGTGGTCAAGGATGTGGGGGCCAGCAATGAAGACAGTAAGGACCATGAACAGAAGAGGACAAGAACCAGGGTTGTGAGAACAAGACTGTGAGGAGCTGCTCTGATGCGTTTCCTGGCAACTGTTGTCACGTTACCCACAGTGGGCGCTATGTTGCAGAAAACTGATGTCACAAAGCTCCTGAAACTAGAGCTGGAGTCATGAATTCATGTGTTCCAGGTAGAGAACAAGTCTCCACCCATCTAGCTTGGTCTTGCGGAGATAGGAAACACAGAAAGGGCCTTAGCCCTGTTCTTCCTGCTTTCTATTGTGGAGGCCTCCGGGCTGGAGATGGCCACACCTGGGAGTCAGAGAATCTTAGAGGACCTGCTCTGTAGGGACCATTTCCTTTCTTTGGCGTTGCAACAGGGACAGGTAGTACAACCTGCTGCTCTCCCCTCTGTTCAGCATCCCTGGGGCCTTTCTCAGGCCTGACTAACCCCTCATTCTTACCTTCCAGGTTTAAGGTCTGAGGATTCTGCCTCCTCCCCAGGCTGAAGCTGTCCATCTACTACTGCAGTCGGCTTCAGTGCCCTTCCCGACCATGGCTAGACCAACTCATTCTGTCCCAATGGTTCTTGGTAGGCTGTGTTGCCCACTCTTGCTTAAAATGCTTTTGTTGGTCAGGCGAGCAAGAAAGTAACTTCCAGATGGCTAGACTCACCCTGACTGGTGCACAGTTTCATCATCTTCTCTTTCCACTCAGCATGATTCTGGGAAGACTGAGCTGGCTGTCGCTGGCTGCTTTCTTCTCTGAGAGCTGGTGCACTACCCCAAATGAGCTGAGGAATAATCAAGATCTGAGCCAGATGTCCAGACACCAGACTGTCTCCATCGTGCTGAAGGAAAGAGACTAAAAAGACCTTGGATTTGGAGTATGATGGCAGTTGACAGCGAAGCTATTAGGCATAAGGTGAGCTCTAGGAGGGACCAACAGACCACAAAGACATGCCATAGAATAATGGGTAGGCAGCCAAAGGTCCTGAAGTAGTATAAAGATAATTTGGTGGCCTACCTGGGGTCAAGAGAGAAGGCGAATGGCAGTGGGAGACTCGGGATGGAGCCAGAGCAGGACCTTCCAAACAGAATGTGACCAACAGTGGTGGACAGTGGTCCATATGAGCTGAATCAGATTAAAACAGCCTCAAGACTGCAGGGCGGCATGCAGAGTGTTCTAACCCTTTCGCCTAGTAAACGTTCAACTTTGCTTTGCCCTTTCTTTCTTTCTTTCTTTCTTTCTTTCTTTCTTTCTTTCTTTCTTTCTTTCTTTCTTTCTTTCTTTCTTTCTTTCTTTCTTTCTTTCTCTCTCTCTCTCTCTTCCTTCTTTCTTTCTTCCTTCCTTTCTCTTTTTCTTTCTTTCTTTCCTTCCTTCCTTCCATCCATCCGTCCGTCTGTCTTATTATTCTGAGTTTCTCTGTAGCCCTGGCTGTCCTGGAACATTCTTTATAAACCAGACTGGCCAAGAACTCAGAGATTCATGCGCCTCTGCTTCGAAGTCCTAGGATTAATGGCGTGCACCAACATAACTGACAAACTTCAGTTGTTTCTTAACTTGTTACATATTCTTGCATCATATACACTTCTGAGAAAAGCACAAACTTTGTCTAGAAGTATCCATTCTAGGGTGAGCACAAAGGAGAGATGGACAGTGAGAAGAGAAATTTAGGCCCTGGGCCCACTAGAATCTAGGTTGCTGCATCTTGACTTGGCCGGTTGGGTTTGCCTTCGTGATTGCTCTGCTTACATTCTTGAGTACTTGACCAACTACTGCATCCTATCAGAATTCTTCTCTTTTGAAAACAAGAAGGATCAAATGAACAAATGAATGAAAGTAAGAGAGACAGAAAGAATGAAGGATGGAAGAGCGAAAGGAAGAGACTGCTTCTAAGGTCAAGACCAGAAAAAAACAGAGATCCTCTCCACTTAATAAGAAAAACCAGTGAGGTAACTGGAAGTAGGAGTCAGAAGGCTGGAATTACATAGGGTAATATCACCTGATTTCTTAGCACTGATACATGGAACTCCTCTCAGGCAAATCAAATTATCCTTTGGGCATAAGGTCCAAAATTCACTCACTCTCTCTCCCACCCTTCGTGTGTGTGTGTGGGGGTATGTTGTGAGGTTGTATTGGTGTGTGTGGTATGTAAACTCCTAGTATGATTTCGTGAGGTATCCAGGGATGAGAACCTCCACACCAGATGATCAAATGTAGGTGTGTGTGTGTGTGTGTGCGCGCGCACACACACACACACACAGATGTCTGTGCACACATTTGGTGGATGCCAAAGAACAGCTTTGGGTGTGTTTTCTCAGGTTTGTCTACTTTTTTTCTGAGACAGAGTCTTTCATTGGCCTGAAGCTCACAAAATAGGGTAAGCTTTCTGATCGGTAAACCCCAGGAATATTACATCTCCACAGTTTTGTGCTGGGATTCCACAACTGGAGTTTTATGTAAGTTCTGGGGATTGCGAAGCAAGCACCTTGTTAACTGAGCCATCCCCTCAAATCCTAGGATGACGTTTTTAATTGGGGAAGAAGATAATCACTTAGAAATGTGGTTTTTAAAACGTGGATGTACTTTTTAAAAAAGGAGTGTGGTGTATTCTGAAAACATTTACTTAGATTCTGAGTGCTAAGTGTTTCCCAAATCAGGTAGGGCTCCAACAGACCAAGGTATTATTCCACCAAAACACAGCTTGGTGAGCCAAAGAGTTTAAAAGTTACAGCTTACGAATGAGGGATTGCTTACAGCAGCAAAGCAGCAACTGACTGCTGGGTGGAAGAAGGATTCCTTCTCTGTAGCTGGATAGATGAAAGTGCCTGCCGCGTCAGTTGACCGCCCACACTCTTGGTACTCTAGCGTCTCCAGAGGCTAGGAAACCACATGTAACTGGGAGAGAATCAACACACAGCTGTAAACGTGATGCCTCAAAGAGAGGCTGGATTCACAGGTGAAAGTTCAATAACACCCGCACCAAGCCCAACACCTTTAGAGAAACTTCCTCTAAAAAGTGGTGACAGAAAAAGTTAACTCAGTCTCTTACCCATTGAAAACATTCTCCATGCCTGAAGGTGACAGAGATGCTTTCAGAAAGAAAGAAAAGTAAGAGTCCTGGGAACAAGCACAAATACACAAATATAAACAATCAGAAATTCTTCTGGTTGAAGAAAAAGACCAGAAACAACAATATCCTTTGGTGCAAATAAAGACCATGAGAACGCTTGAATGTCATCTTAATACCAAGTTCCCTATTTCCACGTTTTTCTTTATAATACCCACAGTGCCTGGCAAGATGGCCCTGTGCCTACAGATGCTTGCACCAAGCACAATGGCCTGAGTTTGACGCCGCAGGTACAGTGAAAAGAAGAAGTGACTCCTAAAAGTAGCCTGCTACCTCCACGTGTATATTGTGACAGACATGCATAAATACATGTGTACAAAATGTAAAATATATGTGGATGCTAAAAAGCAAATAATGATATTTTAGGTATGTTTAACATATATGCACATGAATTAACCACAGTGTATTGTAGAATAAAGAGCACTAGAAAATGGCAAATGAATTTCTATTGTTAAAAAGTTTTACTTTTGAAATATGGTCTCACCTTGTAAACTATAATAAACTGAACCTCACCATGTGACCCCTCCTGGCCTCATATTCATGTCAACCCCTTTGCTTCCACTTCCTGAGCCCTGGGATTACAGATGTGAGGCACCACACTAATATCAGGATTTACTTTCTGGATAAAGGGGTCAAAAAGCAATACTGTGTAGACTATAAAAGAATAAGGGCATATAGTTTATAATCAACAAAACATATCAGAAAGGCTGATGAGAAATTAGAGTTCTTCTAAAGCTAAAACATTAACAATAAGAATTAAAGAAACAAAATATGAGGGGGATAAGAGTGCAAATGATAAAGAGTAGAACGTCACAACAGATACATTAGCTATTAATGGATCAAACACTGCAAATAAAGAGTAGAACGTCACAACAGATACATTTGCTATTAATGGATCAAACACAGCAAATAAAGAGTAGAACGTCACAACAGATACATTAGCTATTAATGCATCAAACACTACAAATAAAGGTGGAATATTTTCTGAACAGATGCAAAAGCAAGAACAGTAATACCTTATCAGTAAGATAGAGATATTGAGGGCTGGGAGGATGGCACAGCAGTTAGCATCACTGTCTGCTCTTCCAGAGGACCCGGGTTCAATTCCCAGCACCCACATGGCAGCTCACAGCTGGCTGTCAATAAAATTACAGGGGACCTGGCACCTTCACACAGGCCTATATCATGCAGGTCAAACACTCACGCACGTAAAATAAAAATAAGTAATTCTCTTTAATGTAGATGGAAAAGATGCTGGTGACAGTGGTAAAGCTGTCACTGCCTTTATAATCATTTACTGCTCATTTAGGAAGGGCTGGTTGCTGGGAATAGCTGCTGCCTTCAGTTCAGTTTAGTCTACTTAGATTGTTGGTGGGGTTTGCAAGTTTGATGGTTGAGCACTTAGCCCCCATCAGGTGGCACTGTTGTAGGACTGTGGGGAGCATCCCAGGCCTGTAGCATGAGGGCAGGGCCTTTGAAGGTTGTTACACTTGCCACTCACTGAATCTGATCTATAAGCTTTGCATCCTGTCCACTGCCACATGAGGAGTCTCCACCATGTGCCGCGGTCCCCATTAACAGCACCGTGATGGCATTGGTGACACTTTTCCTGGGTAGGGAACCCATGAGAGACCAAATTGTGGGTAAGGAGTTTACAGAAACAGGGGTGATTCTAAAGCACTTGCATCACTAAAAGCTCACTCTGTCACGGTTGAGGACCCACGGAGTCTGCATCTATCTGAATCTACAGAGGAGTTGGATGACTCCAAAGCAGCATCGTTCTCCAGACCCAACAGAGCTGATGCACATAGGACCCCACAGAGACAGTGAGATAACTCACAAGATCGGCAGGAGCTCAAGCCAGATAAAATCCCAGCATGGAGGAGGGGAAGTGGTCACAAAGCCCTACACCCAGCCATGTAGCTGTTTGTGATTGATAGTTGCTTTCTCAATGGAGTGACACTGCATATAGCAAACACACCCCAGAAAAGGCCCCATGCCCAGTAGTTTCCAGTATAAATAGGACTCCATGGTTTTGTTATTGACTTATAAACAGACTGTTTTGTTTGTTTTAACCAAGAGAAAGAGCATGATGTTGAGTTGGGAGGAGTTGGGGAAGAGAGAAAATATGATAAAAGTAAATTAAAATTTTAAAAACAAAGAAAACTTAAAAGTAAAATATATATGTTGAGGCAAGGCTGAGGGGATGGCTCTTTCAGAGGACCTGACTTCAGTCCCGAGACCCTAAATGGTGGCTCACAACTGCCTATTATTCCAGTTCAAGGGATCTGACACCATTTTATGACCTCTGTGGGCAAATACACAGACACACACGCAGGTAAAATAACCATACAAATAAAATTAAAATAAACAAAACCTGAAATAATAATAAGATACATACTTTGATCTGGATAATGCTCTTAACCAGCGGACCTGAGTTCAGGTTGCAGTACTTACTAACAGCAATCTAGAACTGTGAGGCCTCCCTGGGTTATTTCGCCCATGTTTATGTAGCCCATGTTACATAGCAATACATACATACATACACACACACACGTTCTCCACATACTCTGTACATTTATATATTTACTTCACCATTAGAGTGACTCCATATCATAAGTATTGTTGCCATCCATATTGTACACAAGACACAAAACGCCCAGAGAGGATGAATAAGTAGCTCCCAAGTCACAGAGCAACTAAGATGTTACCAATAATTTAGTCATGCCTCCTAGTCATCCTGATCATTGTGAGGTCAGGATGCAACCTGGGCCCTCAGTATGTAACCATATGAAAAAGGCAGTAGACACAGGAAATTGAGAAACACCCCAAGATGGCAAGTTCATGCCTCATTTCCTAGATTCTGCCAATTACTCGCTCTCAGCTCTATGATTTGGAAAAAGATCGGAAAGTAAAGCCTGGGATCCCTGGTGGGCCATATACTGGTTCTCAGACTTTATTCACTGGAAGACTTATATGAAAGAGAGATATGAGTGTGTGTGGAGAAAGTATGGGGACACTTGTTTGTCTGCCTCCCTAATTTCCTGTAGTGGACCAGAAGAAAATCTACCTGTGATTGGAAATGTTGGCCCAGCCTGAGAAGAACAGAAAAGCTTCTTGCCAGTATCTCTGTCAACGTCTAGTGGTCGAAGATGTGAATGACACCTCACTGGGAATGTGCCTGTGGGGTCCAGCAATGAAGACAGTAAGGACCATGAGCAGAAGGGGAGAAGAGTCACGGCTGTGAGAACAAGACACCCAGTCACTGTGAGGAGCTGCTCTGATGTGTTTCCTGGCAATTATTGTCACGTTGTCCACAGTGGGCACAATGATGCATAAAACTGATGTCACAAAGCTTCTGAAAACCAGAGCTGGAGCCATGAATTCATGTGTTCACAGTAGAGAACAAGTCTCCACCCATCTAGCCATGGTTTTGTAAAGATATGAACCACAGGAAGGCCCTTAGCCCTATGCTTCCTGCTTCCTATTCTGGAGGGCTTCCGGGTGCTTGATGGACACCCCTGGGGTCAGAGAACCTGACAGGACCTGCCCTTTTGGGACCATCTACTTTCCTTGGCCAGAATGGACTGGCGGTACACCCTGCCACTCTCCTCTCTGCTCAGCATCCCTGGGGCCCTTTTCAGGCCTATCACCTCATTCTTACCTTCCAGGTTTAAGGTCTGAGGATTCTGCCTCCTCTCCAAGCTGAAGCCATCCTCCTACTACTGCAGTCGGCTTCAGTGCCCTTCCCGACCATGGCCAGACCAACTCGCTCTGTCCCAATGGTCCCAGATAGGATGTGTTGCTCACTCTTGCTTAAAATGCTTTTGTTGGTCAGGCTTGAAACATGAGCAAGAAAGTAACTTCCAGATGGCTAGACTCACCCTGACTGGTGTACAGTTTCATCATCTTCTCTTTCCACTCAGCATGATTCTGGGAAGACTGTGCTGGCTGTCGCTGGCTGCTTTCTTCTCTGAGAGCTGGTGCACTGCCCCAAATGAGCTGAGGAATAACCAAGATCTGAGTCAGATGTCCGGACACCAGACTGTCTCCATTGTGCTGAAGGAAAAACACTTAAATGACCTTGGATTTGGAGTATGATGTCAGTTGCCAGTGAAGCTATTAGGATAACGTGAGCTCTGGGAGGGACCAACAGACCACATACAATGGGTAGGCAGCCTAAGATCCTGAGATGGCATGAAGATAATGGTGGTGGCCTACTTGGGGTCAAGAGAGAAGGAGAATGGCAGTGGGAGACTCTGGAAGAGTCAGCTCAGGACTTTCCAAATAGGATGTGACCAACAATGGGGGCGGTGGTCCATATTAGCTGGATCAGATTAAAACAGCCTCAAGAAATCCTCTGCAGGGTGGCATCTAGAGTACTCTAACCCTTTCCCCTAGTAAACTTTCAATTTAGCTGTAATCTATCTATCTATCTATCTATCTATCTATCTATCTATCTATCTATCTATCTATCTATCTATCTATCTATCTTTCTTTCTTTCTTTCTTCCTTCCTTTCTTTCTTTGTTCCTTTCTTCTCTTTCTTCCTTGCTCCCATCCTTTCTTCTTTCTTGCCTTACTTCTTTCTTGTTTATCTGAGTTTCTCTGTGTAGCCCTGGCTGTCCTGAAACATTATCTCCAAACCAGATTGGCCGACAACTCAGACATTCATCTGCCTCTGCCTCCAGAGTTCTGAGGTTAAAGGTGTGCACCACCATGCCTGGCAAGCATCAGCTGTTTCTTAAACTTCTATTCATATTCTTGCATCTTATACACCTACTTACGTATAACAGATTGAATTCTAGGTAAGCTTGGCTTCTGAGAAAAGCACAGCCTTTTCCAAGGAGTATCTATTCTAGGGAGAGCACAAAGGAGACATGGACAGTGAGAAGAGAAATTGAGGCCCTGTGCCCATGAGAATTGGGGTTGCTGTATCTCAACTTGGCCAGTTTGCTTTGCCTCCTTGATTGCTCTGCTGACACTCTTGAGTACTTGTCCAACCACTGCATCCTATCTGAATTCTTCTCTTTTGAGAACAAGAAGGATCAAATGAAGAAATGAATGAAAGAAAGACAGACAGAAAGAAGAAAGGAAAGAAGCGAGAAAGGAAGAGACTGCTGCTAAGATCAAGCCCAGAGAAAAAGAGAGATCCTCTCCACTTAATAAGAAAAACCAGTGAGGTAACTGGAAGTAGGAGTCAGGAGGCCGGAACTAGATAGGGTAACATCACCTGATTTCTTAGCACTGATACCTGAACCTCCATTCAGGCAAATCAAATTAGACTTTGGGCATAAGGTCCAAAATTCACTCACTCTCCCTCCCACCCTCTGTGTATGGGGACGTAGTTTGAGAGGTTGTAGTGGTGTGTGTGGTATGTAAGCTCCTATTATAATTTCGTGAGATATCCAGGGAGGAGAATCGCCACACCAGATGATCAGATGTAGGGGTTTGTGTGTAGGTGCGTGTTCACGCGCAAATGTGTCTGTGCACACTTGTAGTGGATGCCAAAGGAGAGCTTTGGGTGTGTTTTCTCAAGTGCTGTCCACTTTTTTCTCAGACAAATTCTTTAATTTGCCTGAAGCTCACAAAATAGGGTAAGCTATCTGACCGTTAAATCCTAGGAACATTACTTCTCCACAGTTTTGTGCTGGGATTCCACAACTGGAGTTTTATGTAGATTCTGGGTTTTGGAAATCAAGCACCTTGCTTACTGAGCTTTCCCGGAAGGTACTAGGATGAAATATTTAATTGGGAAAGAAGATAATGCGTTAGAAATGTGGTTTTAAAAAAAGTGGATGTACTTAAGAAAAAAGTGGGTGTTTCTGCAAACCCTGAATTAGACCCTGAGAGTTAAGTGTTTCCCAAATCAGCTAGCGCTCCAACAGACCAAGGTATCATTCCACCAAAATTCAACTTGGTGATCCAAAGTTTAAAACTTACAACTAACGGATGAGGGATTACTTACAGGAGCAAAGCAGCAACTGACTGCTGCGTGGAACAAGGAGGCCTTCTCTGTAACTGGATAGATGGAAGTGCCTGCCATGTCAGTCAACTGCCCAGACTCTCGGTAATCTAGTGTCTCCAGAGGCTACAGAACCACATGTAACTGGGACAGAATCACACACAGCTGAAAAGGAAAAGCCTCATGAGAAGCTGGAATCTCAGGTGAGAGTCTAATGACACCCATCTCTAGCCCAACGCCCTTGTATAAAACTTCAGCAGGCAGGTTGTGGTAGGGCATATAACAAGGAAGGTAAGTAAGCCATGGAAAGCAAGCCAGTAAGCAGCATTCCCGCCATGGCCTCTGTATACTGGTATATTTGTGTTTAAATGAATAAAGCTTGCCTGAAGATCAGCGGGCAAAGCAGCCACACTCGACGGCTATACAGGACAAAGGGGTGGTGGTAGCACACCCCTTTAATCCCAGGACTTGGAAGACAGAGGCAGGCAAATCTCTGTGAGTTCAAGGCTACCCCGGGCTATACAAGATTGATCCAGAAACAGATCCAGGTGGTGGTGGTTTACTCCTTTAATCTCAGTGTTTGAGAGTCACACACTTTTAATCCCAGCACTGGGGATGTAGAGACAGTGGCAATATGCTGGGCAGAGAGATAAATATAAAGGGGAAGAGACAGGAACTCACTGGAGTGTAGAGTCGGAGGATTTGTGGAGACAGCATCTCGCCCTTTGAGTCTGATTACTTGGTAGAGGTAAAAGTTCTCTCTAGTGGTTCCCTGCTTTGCGTTTCTGATCTTCAGCTTGAACCCCAATACCTGCCTCTGGATTTGTATTATTCTGCTACACCTCTGTTGATTCCTGCTTCGAGATTCCTCCTTGAGTTCCTTTCATGATGGACTACAACTGTAAACTTAAATAAACCCTTTCATGTTGCTTTTGACCATAGTGATTACAATTTAAAACTAAGACAGCATATTCCCAAGTGGGGCATAAACCAGACACCTTAAACCTCACATTTGGGCCATCCATAATCTTCAGCATGACACATACCCTGTATTCAGAGCCCCTAACCACCATAAGGCCATTTATCTTTAAGAAAAAAAAATTAATTAAAACGGTTTATATTTACAGAAAATTTGCAAAAATAGGACAGAATATTCCCAAATGCCCTGCTCCTGTTTGATTCTTTTGTTACTACTTTGAGTGGATGTGTCACTATTGTCGAGCCAATCAAGGCATTTCTAATTACTAAACCCATGGTTCATTCAGATTTCCTTACCTTTTACGATTACTCTTTACCATTGTCCATTACAAAATCCCGCGAGGAGCCTAATTCCTACAGCCATGGGTCCCATGGCTTTCCTGCAAGACATTTATATTGTGCTGAGGAATCTTTTATACTTCTAGGGTAAAATGAAACGTTAGTCTGTTGCATCCTTTCATCCTGTCTTTATCTTAATGGTGTCAATTTTAGGGAAGAGCATGTGCACATTAGAGCATGGTCAGGCTTCCGTAAAATGTTCTTTTTTAAAGTAGATCACCTCCGTCAAAGTTGCAGAGAACATGAAGTTTTTCATGTTGTATATTGTTCATTTTATAAAAGCTCCCTCCAAAAATTGAAGCCTCAGAGACACAGTGAATAGAGTGAGAGAGGAGGAAAGCCTCATTTGTATACATGGATAGCCAGAAATCCCAAGACCACGTATTGAAAAGATGGCCAATCCCCTCCATAAACTTGATGTGCTAGCATATCATGCATTACATGTTTTATCAAAAAGCTGTGACTTTCTCATCAGTGACCATGCAAACTAGAAGAGAGCAACTTCCTCTAAAAGGTGGTGACAAAAAAAAGTTAACTCAGTCTCTTAGCCATTGAAAACATTCTTCATGCCTGAAGGTGACATAAATGTTTTCAGAAAGAAAGAAAAGTAAGAGTCCTGGGAACAAGCAGAAACACACAAATATATACAATCAGAAATTCTTCAGGTTGAAGAAAAAGAAAATCTGAAATAACAACATCCTTTGGTGCAAATAAAGACCATCAGAAGGCTTGAATGTCATCTTAATGCCAAGATCCCTATTTCCACATTTTCCTTTAAAATACACACAGGGCTTGGCAAGATGGCCCAGTGCCTACAGATGCTTGTGCAGAGCATGATGGCCTCAGTTTGCCTCCCTGGGTACAGTAAAAAGAAGTGACTCCTAAAAGTAGCCTGCTACCTCCACGTGTATATTGTGACAGACATGCATAAACACATAAACACAGATAAAATATAAAATATATGTGAATGCTTAAAAGCAAATGATGATATTTTATGTGTGTTTAACACATATGCACGTGGATTATCTATAGGGTACTGTAGAATAAAGAGCACTAGAAAATGGCAAATGTATTACTATTGTTAAATATTTTTCTTTTGAAATATGATCTCACCCTATAACCCATAATGGCCTGAACCTCACCATGTGTCCACGGCTGACCTCAAACTCATGTCCAACCCTTTGCTTCCACTTCTTGAGTTCTGGGATTACAGGTGTGAGGCACCACACCTAACATCAGGATTTAAACTCTGGAGAAAGTGGTCAAAAAGCAATACTGTGTAGACTATTAAATAGTAAGGACATATAATTTATAATCACTAAAATATATCAGAAAGGCTGATGAGAAATTATAGATTTCTAAAGCTTAAACATTAATAATAAGAATTAGAGAAACAAAATATGAGGGGGATAAAGAAGTCAAGAAACTAGATATCAAGAGAACAAATATCACAATTAAAAATCGTTATAGATATAAGCAGAGAATTCTCTTTAGAGGAAACTCAGATGGCTAAGAAACACTTAAAGAAATGTTTAACATCCTTAGCCATCAGGGAAATGTAAACAAAAACTACTTTGATGTTTCTTCTTACAACTGTCAGAATGGCCACGATCAATAAAAGAAGTGACAGCTCATGCTGCTGAGGATGTGGAGTAAGAGGAACACTCCTCTGTTACTGGTGGGAGTGCAAACTTGTACAGCCACTGTGGAAATCAATGTAGTGGTCCCTTAGGAAGTTGGGAATCCATCTACTTCAAGACCACTATAGGACTCTTGGGCAAATACCCAAAGGCTTCATCCCACCACAGAGACACTTGCTCAACCATAATATCCAGAAATGGTGGCCAACCTGGATATCCCTCAACAGAGGAAGTGCTGAAGAAAATGTGGTACATTGACACAATGGAGTATTACTCAGCTGCTAAGAAAATGGCATCATGAAATTTTCAGGAAAATGGATGGAACTAGAAAAAAATCAACTTGAGTGAGGTAACCCAGACCCAGAAAAACAAATACGGTGTGTGTTCACTTATATGTGGATATTAGCTGTACGTCATTGATAACCAAGCTACAATCCATACTATCAGAGAAGGTGGGTGTAGAGTAAGAGACTATAGGGAACAGATAGATCTCATTAGATAAGAAATTGAACAATATATATGTATAGAAAGGAAAGCTGGAATTGGAGGATCGAGTGAGGAGTGGGAATCGAGGGGGTTGTGGGAAGGAATATGGGGTAAAAACAGGTAAAATTAAGGGGCATTTCAGGGGTAGTATGGAAAAATACAGTAGAAATTAAAATATATACATATATGAAGGCAATCCAGATGAAATCACCAAATAGTGGAGGAGACAGAGTCACCAAATGAAGCTTCCAGTATCAGGATTGGGTTATCTAATTGAGTTGTTGGCCAAAGGGGTTCCATGAGAAATGGCAAACAACTCAGACTATTGCCAAGATTGTAGGTTTCTCTCTGTAAACCGAGAGCGAGGCTCCATTGATGAAGACAACACCCACACAAGTCAATAAACATGTCAAGCTGGTGCCTACATAAAGTCTTCACCCCCATGTTCCAGTGTCTCCGATACAGTATGGTATTCTGTATGTTATCAGAAGAGAAACGTAACCATCGAGTGAGCTACAAACCATTCGTCTACAGAGGTGTGCTCTCTGCAAGATATACGAGGGCAGTGGTGGCACAGTGCTTGTGGGAGTAACCAAACAAGAACTGATTTAACCTAGGGTTCATTCCATGAGACGGAACCCATACCTCACACTGCATGGGTGAACAAAAAGCTGAGATTAGAAAGCCAAGAAACCTAGGGCAAAATCAAATACTTCTAATATTGAAGAAGAAAAGAACATAGTGATGACGCCTAATGATATTCTGCTAGACTCATCACCAGAGAAGCTTCCTCCTGCAACAGATGAGAACAAACATTTTCACTTTCTGCTTTCAGGACACATGTGGTCCATTGTGCTCTGTTTTTTTCCTCTCCATCCTCAAGACCTCTTCCTCTCCTCTCAAGTTCCCCTTTCTATTTTCATGCCCTACATATGTATGTGAATATGCACACACATATACAGACATTTAACTCTAGAATGTATACATGAGGAAAAATGAGATATTTTGCTTATCTTAATATTTAGATGTTTGTAGAAATGTCTGTGTGTACATCACATGTGTGTGGGTGCCCTAGGAAGGCAGAAAAGAATTTTGGGTCTACTGGAGCTGATGTTACAGACACTTGTGAGTGGCCAAATGTGGATGCTAGAAACTGAACTCCAATCCTCTGAAAGAACAGTAAGTGTTCTTAACTGCTGAGCCATCTCTTCAGTCCCTTTTGCTCGTAAAATACATTTATCACCATCATTAGTGGTGGTGGTGGTGGTGGTGGTGGTGGTGGTGGTGGTGGTGGTGGTGGTGGTGTGTGTGTGTGTGTATGTGGTATGTGCAATGACCCGTGTGTAAAAGTAAGAGGGCAGACAACTTTTTAGGAGTTGTTTCTTTCCTTCCACTGTGTTTGGAAGTAAGTTCTCCCTTGAAGTTTGTCATACTGAGTTCCCCAAACTAATTGAGCCACTACATTCATCCATTTATAAAAGACCTAAAAAGACAAACTACTCAGGATGTGGGAGGAGAACCTACAAGTACCACTTTACTAAGCTAGATATCAATTTTTATATACATATATATGCTGTGATAATTGTATTTTAATGGCTACAGGAAAAACCTTTTTGGCAAATAATTACATAATATAAAGTCTAGTCTTTTTAGGCACATTTAGTGACATTTAAAGTCGCTTTTCAAAATAAAAGATCAAAGAAAGGGAAAACTTTCAAAAAAGAATTCTCATTTGCAAATCATGACATTGAAATACATGTCCCCAAATTCCTGCACAAAGACAACAGAGAGACAGAGACAGAGAGAGAATGCATATAAACAAATGGTAGAACACCATAGATTGAAATATCAGCTGAGTTAATATGATAAGGAGTAACTTAAGAAGTAACTTCTGTCTTATAATTACCCAGCTTATCATTTGTTTTCTCCATGTGTATATTATCCTCAGGAATTGGTCAACAAGTGGGTTGTAGATGGTATAAGAAGAAGCTTCAGGGTGGGGGCATGGTGGTGCAGATCTTGGGACAAGGGAGCCTGAGCCATCGGGTCTTGAGTTGAAGGGTAGCCTGGGCTACAAAGAGAGAACCTGAATTAAAAAAAAAAAGAATGTTATAAAATTAAAACAAGCCAATGAATATTTATTCTGTTAGAAAGTATTCATTTTGCAATGCTAGATAAATAAACAGTGGCAGAAAACACGACCATTAGAACTGGGATGTGACTGAAGAAAATAAATAATGAAGTGTTTATGTGTGAGTGAAGGCGCTTCAGGCATCTTGTAAGCAAACAGTTTATTGACGTGCAGGTGGCCATACGCATTTGGTTAAACAATGTCGGTTCTCATGAGTAGCTGTACATCTTGTTTACATTTGAACACAAGTACCCATTAAGGTGCCAATAGGAGCTCCCCTGGGACAGGCTGATTTTAGATAAAGTGCTTCCATATGGCTTTTATAGACTTGTGTATGCTACAAGAATTTTCATAATGCTTATACATGTGATTCAGTAACAGATCCAGAACGTAATTATTGTGCTGTCCACATGTAAGAGGCTTAAGTATATATGCACATATATTTTAAATTTCTTAAAAGATTTTTTTTCATTTTACATACCAACCACAGTTCCCCTCCTGCCACTGTTTCTCCCCCACCTTTCCCTCACCCAGCCCCCCACCCACTCTTCAGAAAGGGTGAGGTTTCTCTTGGGGAGTCAAAATGGAAGCACCTAAGACTTTAGCTAACATAAAGTTCTGTCCCCAGCCACTGGGTATTGTCCTGTTCTCTGCAGTCAGATTCTGCTACTAAAAGTACCCTACACCTCGGAGATCCCACGCACGTGTTGGTCTCCTCGGTGGTCCAAGGGAAAAAAGGTGGAAAGTCGGTCCGCGGGTGGCCTCCCTAGTCCCGCCTACTCTCCGAGAGTACTATCTTCTGTAACATGAAGAATAAACATCCAGAGACAGATATTGGGGTTCAACCTGAAGATCAGAAAACCAAAGCAGCCATATGGTCAGCCGTACGACCCAGGGAGTAGTGGCACACACCTTTAAACCCGGGACTCCTGAGACAGTGGCAGATGGATCTCGTGGAGGAGATAGGTTCTTTTAGATAGAGTTCTGAGTGCGACTCCGCCATGGTGAGGACATTTCTGGAAAATTTTGCGAAGCTTTTTTTTCCAACAGAGCAATCCCCACAGGGCAGATTGCATCTTTGGTTCTCAAGACCTCCCTCTGGAGTCCACGTGTGGTGAGATGGCCTATGGAGGAAGCGCAAGTAGGGGAGGTGCTGAGAAGCAGCGGGAGGTTCTCGGAGAGTAGGCGGGACTAGGGAGGCCACCCGCGGACCGACTCCCCTTCTAGCTGTTCTACTTTCCGCCTTTTTCCCTTGGACCTCCGAGGAGACCAGCACGTGCGTGGGATCTCCGAGGTGTAGGGTACTTTTAGTAGCAGAATCTGACTGCAGAGAACAGGACAATACCCAGTGGCTGGGGACAGAACTTTATGTTAGCTAAAGTCTCAGGTGCTTCCATTTTGTTTCAGAGACTTAGAGAGGAGTGGAAGAACCAGGGTAAGCGAAAAGAAGTCAGGATGTGGAGGAAGCCGACTACGGCAAACTTACTGCAACCACAGAGGAGACCAGAGGACCGAAGACGAGCAGCCAGGTCATCTGCTAGAAGTGAGTAACTTAGCTTCGCTTTTTCAAACATAGGTGTTATATGGTAGGTCGTAATTTGGAGGCATGGTTGTTTCTAGAAAATACAAAAGCAGGAGAATTTTTTTTAAAGCATCAGCATTCTAAAGATTACTAATATTTTTAAAAGCAGTAAAGCTACAAATGAGGAAATCTAATGATTTAATGCCCAATGTACAAGGGAATGTATCCATTTTTTTAAAAAAGTCTATATTCCACACGCAAAGCAAAGCTTTGAGAATGTGTGGCAAGGCCGTTTTGGTTGCTTTTGCGATTAAGGTGCCATTTGTTTTTACTCTGTAATTTCTCAAAATTGAATACTTTGCCAGGAGCAGGTAAACTTTTATTATTTTTTGAGGTCGAAAGGGCTTCCAGGGTAAAATACAAGCAGTGATACTAATTCGAAGCAGTTAGAATTCTACAGTGATTTGTTGGGCAGCAAAATGATTTAGCACCGAGCACTTTGCGAAAAGCTATACCCGACACGCGTCCGGGTATGTTTAAAGAGAAGCGAGCAACGAGTTCATGGTTATATGCAACCATTTCCTTGTAGACATTGTTTAAAGGTTTATACTTTCAATCCTGGTCGGTGTTAAGCCGGAATGACTGCGCTATTCAACCTGAACATCTCAGCCAGTGTTGGGTATTCCTATCTATATGGTATTTATATGCCTATACTATACAAAGACATAACTGAAAGAATACTGCGACGTACAAAGAGTGTGAATTGCATCTGCTGGCCAGTTTTCTTAGACTATACACGTGTGACTGTATTTCGGAAATACCTGTTTTGTTTTCATAAAGAAACCTGCTTTTACTAACTGAAAGAATACTGCGACTTAGAAAGAGTGTGAATTGCATCTGCTGGCCAGTTTTCTTAGAATAAACACGTGTGACTGAATTTCGGAAATACCTGCTTTGTTTTCATAAAGAAACCTGATTTTAAGATCAAAATAACTGCTGAATTCTGTATAGTGACTAAGTTCTAAACAGATAGCTTTTTTTCTGCCTTTACTAAAATATGATTAACACATGAAAATTGGGTGGGTGTATTCAGGTATACTACATGTTTATATATAACATGTATTCTGAAATGATGAGCCCAATCAAGCTGAATGCCACAAGTTACTGTTTTCCATGTGTGGCGAGAATGTTTGAAATCTTCTGGGTTGGCAATTTTCAAGAGAAATACCAATATCAACCATTAGTTGTTAAATTCTGCTTGTTTTCCAGTGTTTAGAGACATTTTTTGAGATGAAGATTTGGCTAGAGTTCCTATGTTTCTTAAGCTTCATTGTGTAGTACCTGTTTTTTTTATCGCGTGGCAGGTTAGGTAAGGAAGGCCTCGCTAAGAAATTTGAAATTCTTTGAATGGTAATATAGTTATTTTATATGCTATGTAGATTTTTTAATATTAAAGGAGAAAATAATATTCTTTAATGAGCAAGGTCAATGAAGAAACTCTTTGTAAATCTTTTACTTATCTAAAATCCAGGCCTTTCAAATATTTCAGGTTATTTTAATCTACCCAGAAATACAGGTTTGAAATTTAAAATGTGAATGTGTGTCAGTCCAATTTTGTGATAAATTGATTGCAGTTTATCGACCTTATGTGTGCTGAAAAAATGGGTAAACTTGAAAAAATCAGGGTTTAGATAGTGCTTTCATTCCTGATCAAGACAGGGCAACTTTCTAAATTCTTTGCAAACACTGGATCTTAGGAGAAAACACTGTAAGGCCGACTCCTAAGCCTTGATGATTGTACAATAACGTTATAGGAAGCATTAATGGTTCATGTGTGAAGGAAACGTGTTTGTGCTCCAACATCAAATGAACTTATGAGATAGACTCATGGTCCTTTGGCAGGAATGATAAAGTCACTCCAGGAGGGACATAATACTATGGAATTGGGCTGTGCAGTTCCTTTGACCCTCCATTTAGACTTCCAGCCACACTGCCTCCTACTGAAAGACAAAAGGCCAAAGACCTTGGTGAGAAAATGGAGGATTCATTGGGCATCTATCCTGAGACCTAAGTCACCTAAAATGGTGCCGAAATTTGCATTTCTCTAGGAGCTAAATTTCAGAGTGCTCTTTTAGAATTCATGAAAACAAAGCAGAGTTAATGAAACTAGGTGCTACAGGCCTGCTTGATATCCCCCATGGGAGCAAATGGATCTTTCCTCAAAGAGGTTTTGGTTTGTGTGTGTGTGCGCACGCGTGCGCACGTGCGTGTGTGTTTTTTCCAGCCAACGAAAGGGAGTAGAAGCGCCAGGGCTAAGCAGGTTTTCCAGAACAGTATTACTGCCCAGAGGAAGTTGTTTGCCAATATCCTGTGGTGTGAGTGGGATCTCCAGTAAGTTTAGCAGTTAAGAAAGCTTGCCTCTTTGGTAAAGTTGAGTGAGTAAAGGCCCTGAGCAGACCGGCAGACCTCCTTCAATTTCAAAGTAGGAGTCTGATGGACTCCAAGGGAAGAAACTAATGGGGCAGACAGTGGCTGTAGAACTGGGGCTAACTACCAGGTAGATCAGGGCCTAGTGGAAAGGATACTCTAGAGCCGGCGGCCTCCAACCATAAAATTATTTGGTTGCTCCTTCATGACTGTCATTTTGCTACTGTTATTATGCATCATAATGTGAATATCTGTTTTCCGATGGTCTTAGGCAGCCCCTGTGGAAGGGTTGTTCGACCCCCAATGTGGTCCTGACCTACAGGTTCATGGACTGTAGGGGGACATGCTCATACCTCAGTTTTTTTTTGGTTTTTCGAGACAGGGTTTCTCTGTGGCTGTGGAGCCTGTCCTGGAACTAGCTCTGTAGACCAGGCTGGTCTCGAACTCACAGAGATCCGCCTGCCTCTGCCTCCCGAGTGCTGGGATTAAAGGCGTCCGCCACCATTGCCCGGCTATACCTCAGTTTTTATAATGGGGTGAGACTTTGCCTATTTAAACCTGTTGTCATTCTGGTAATAAAACTGAAACTCATATGGGACCTAACTGTTTATTCATGTTAGCAGGTATTCAACTTCCTGCTTCATAGCATTTTCTATTGAGTATTCGTTATAGGCCTACTGTGATACCCTCTTATGAGAATTTTAAGTGCACCAGGAACCCTAGGTCACTCGGTCAAGCAAAGTAAGAAATATTGAATATTTCATAGGATTCGCTGAAATGCACATTTCTTTGTACCAATGACAGTGTTGGTAATGACCACTTACAAGAGAGGACAGAATTGTATTTTGGTATACTGTTGTAATGTTTTTCTCACCACTTGAACACTATTTACCCCGAATGTTTCACCTCTACTATGAAGCCTTCATCTGTTGGACCCTAGCGTTCAATCACTGAGGAGGAGGAGTCGCCCGAAGAGACCATCTGTCATATCACAGCTGACGTAAAAGCATGAGGATTTTACTAATTCTGTCATGACAGGGTCTTCCAGCAGTCGGGAGGCTAGAAGTCCCTGAATGGCTAGTACAGGCTATTTTTAAAGGGAAAAACCACAGAAGGAACGGGTGTCTAGGGGTTGTTCTTTAACTATTATGATTGGCTTAATCAAAGGGGCTGTTACCAATAATTGGCTGGAGAGTGGTTACCAGATCAGATGAGGTAAAGGAAAACTTCTGAGGGTCACTTTGCCTCTTCCCAGGGAGTAAGTCAAAACATCAGTAACTGAGTCAACACCTAAGGGTTATCATGCCCCTATTCAGGGGGATGGAAAGTTCCCAACATCTCAGTACATGTATGCATAGCTGTTATGTCCTTGGTTCCCAGGGGAGGAGGGGAAGTACTGAGAGTTGTCAGAAATGACTTCAGAATTGTCTTAAAGTTCTACATTTCCCCCTCTTATGTGGTCAAATATCCCAATCCTGGGATATTAGTAAATTTGGGGCACTAATTTGATCAGTACAGAGAAATAAGCAGTATCATCAGAGATACAAGGGGTTAAACCAATGTTGTAGGCCCATCATAGATCAATAGAGGGCACCAGTACCAGTTTCCTGTTGTCTTGGGATTTGGGAGAGTCAGGTTACACAGGTACTGATATTGAGGGGTTGGAGTCCCCAAACATACTTTTGTTAAGGTTAACTTTTTCTCTTGCCCCCATCTACAGGACGTATGAGAGGTGATATTGTTGAAACTGCCAGATGAGGCTATTCCCTCGTAATAGGGAGATCTTCCTGACAGGCAGAGCCAGCAAGATTGTGTCAAGCTGGGGTCAGTACTATTTAGTAAGGAAAAGGCTCCCTGCACAAGGTTGAATAGTCCTTGGCTGGTGGTGGGAGGTGCCAGCAGAGAAGCAGGGAGAGTAGCTTAGTCCAGCTGGCAGCAGCAGGCTCTGGTCAGATAGTACTTGGTTCTCTACCTTAGCATAATGGAGAAGGTGGCACCTAAATCTTGCTGCTGTATCCTGTTTGGGAAATACCATGGCATGCCCCAATTCCTTTCCGACATCCATGGAGACAGTCCTGCTGCTTGCCCCTGGGAGACAAGTGTGGGAGATGTCACAGGTCCCTGTGCTCCACATGGAGCATTGCTTTGGAAGTCTAATTTTTACAAACAGTTATCCAGTCCCAGGAAGAACTAGATTTTCAATAAGCATCCCCAGTAGTTTTACATTTTCAGGCACCACAGTATAAAAATCTAGCTTTCCCAAGTGGCATCTATGTTCTGGACCCCCATACCTGAATATTTCCTACAGGGGAAAATCTTCTGCCAGCCTTCGGGGCAGCTGTGGGGGATGTGCATCTCGGATATCCCAGGATACTAGTTGACAGAAATCAGGGACTGTTTTGGAGTTGGTCCATACCACCTTTCCAGTTTGTAAGGAAACCTGCCAAGTCAGTTTCTGGGGTGCATAGGGATCATTACAAAAGCGTTGGAGTAACAAAGCAAGGGCTTGAGGAGGCGTGGATTGCGGCACAAACAGATGTGAGCTGGCGGTTGCTGTTCTGGCTGTGGAGATTTTGCTGTGCTTTTCTCACGTCCCTCCAGATATACCCCAGGAGTCACAATTCTGGAACGGATGCGAGATTTCCGGGTGCC